GTCATCGTCAAGCCCGTATCTGTCATCGTCCTCACTCGAAAGTTCCACCGTTGTCCCGCGAGGTGGATGAAGAGGGGATATCGCGCCTCACTCTCCTCTTCGTGCTCAGATGACAAGACGACTGGGAGGCGACGGGGGGGATTTAGTGCAATGGCTGACGAAAATGAACGGCCCGCCTACGTACGCGTGCCACACCATCTGGTTAGAATTTGCACATGTGCTAGGCTGTACCAGACGCTATGTCTCTCACGTAGGTGAGATGTGCTTATTCTCACATGTGACATTTCACTAACCATACCGGTGCTGGCATGCTGAATTGAACGCACGCTGCCAAAATGATGTGTGATGTGTTGCAGATAGGTGTCGTGCAGGCGTGTTATTTGGAGTAGGTTGGTGTGTGCTCTGGTGACGTTTGTGTATGCAGATATGGCGAGATGCCACCCACTCCTGTGGTGTGCGGGGGTCAGGTCGTGTGTGGCGCGTGCATACGGGCTGTTTAGCTCTGTCAGCCCTAAACACATGCTGAGAAATTTCGCCATCCGCAAGTATACCGCGGCTCTTATATGTAAAACTCGTGGTCGAAGCACAGCATAGAAAAACAACTACCGTTGTCCTTATAACCTTTAGCCCACGCACTCTGGCAACCCGAAATGTTCGTTTACCTCTACAATTTTAGGAGAAACTGACCGAAAAGGAGGGGGAGGGGGAGGACGCTAGTCGCTCGAGAACTAGCGCTCTACAGGGTGGACATGGTTGCACTCAGTGAGACTCGGTTCTCCGAGTAAGGTCAGCTGGAGGAGGTGAGTGCCGGTTCCACCGACGAGGTGATGAACACATTTTAGGAGGACCTGCACGGCGTACAAGCTGATTTTCCTTGTCGACTGCAATACCCGTGTCATAACAGGCAATGATGCCTGAAGGGGAGTGTTGGGTCCCCATGAGATGAGCGACTGTAACGAAAACGACCTTCTTCTGTGAAACAGCGGAGAACACCGCCTCCCCCTATACGGCACCATCATTTGCATTCCGAACCGGAAGAAGACGACCTGCATACACTCCTGAGTGCAGCGCTGGCAGTTGCTGGACTGCGTTCTTGGTCGGAGATGCGACCGCGCCGCTTTTCAGCTCTGATACCACTTTGTTGGCCCTTGAGAACTCAGGTGCAATATCCCCGACCGGCTGATGCATGGCGAAAGCGCAAGAAACGGCCTTGACCCTATTAAATGGTCTGCCAAAAGTGAGCAAAGAGAACTCTCCTCTCTGGCCAGTCGTAGCGCAAAAGGCCCCCCGAATTATGGACTAACAAAGCGACCATTTCGACGTCTCAAATTTCTGATCGCTGGTTCGGACACCACGGTCAGCTCATCTGCATAATTTTTGGAGAAACTTGAAGGGGTAAGTCTGTAGTGGACAGCCATAATGGCTACGTCGCGTCCCTCGCTAGCGCCTGCACCGACATCCTATCAACAGCCTACTATGGCACGCACGTCTGCCCGGCTTCGATTTGTCTCGTTGCAATTCATTGTCTGCACCACGCATTCAGTCGATTCTCTGCCTGCAACACGCGAGGCTTGTCACTACGTTTGCGTGGGCTCGGAACCAATTAACGCAACTCCTATCGCTGATTGGTAAGACACGCGGGAACAGTCCAGAACAATAGAGTAAACAATCTGCAACGACACTTCTGCCGCGGCGACCTTCGGCGCCACAGGGCTCGTTGCTCTCGCGGACGCAGCCTCCGCGGCGCCGGACGCACCCACGTCCGGTTGCCAACTTTCCTTTTCATTATTATGTACAGAATAAAGTGTCCTAAGCAAATGGCGTCCTGCTTCTAAAAACTTGGGATATGGCCTGAAAATGTGGCGTACCGAGCGTACAACATCACCGCTTAGCCGTTACAAGTCTCCTGCCAAACAACATCAAGGCACTTTTTGAGGTCCCCTCCGGTTTTTCTCCTGTTCCACAAGACCTGGCAATCGAAACCATGGAATTACTCTTAAGGGGCAAATTCGAAGAAACGAAAAGCCACCTTGGACACACCCAAATCCTTCAGCTCCTGAAGTTCTGTCTCGAGACGTACGTTACTTTTGATGGAATAATCTACGAGCAAGTAAACAGCAAGCCAGTGGGTTCACCGATTTTGGGACACGTAGCTGATTCCGTCCTGCAACGGTTGGATTCGCTGGTCTTCCGACACCACAGACATAAATTCTGGGCTCGGTATGATATGTACCTCCGTCGTCATCGAACGGGACCAGGTGGTGGAATTTAAAGGACATCTCAACGCCATCTTCCCGGACATTCAATTCAAGGAGGAAGAGGAAATAGGCAGCTAGCCTTCCTCGACGTCCGCATCTGTCACAAAGATTGTAGTGGTCTAAAAACGGAAGTATGCAGGAAAGCGACTAATACGACGCAAGTACTGAGCTTCAATAGCAACCACCCAATCAGCCACAAACGTAGTTGTGTAAGGGCGCAATAGCGGCATGTCGAGACGCATTACAATGAAACGGAAGACAAGTTAGCTGAACAACAATATATTTGACGGGTGCTCAGAACAAATGGGTATCCGCACAACTTCTTCAGCCGCTGCATGTGTAAACGCGATGGGGGACAAACTTCAACCGGCCCCAACTTTTGGCGAGCGCTCCGGTACGTGAAGAACTCTCGGAAGCCGTCAGCAACTCCCCCACACCACTCGCAGTCGGAGTTGCGCACAGACCGGAGGCTACAATCAGACGCCAGGTCATAAAGCCGAAGGGCCCACTGCCATGGTAAGAAACATTGGGAATCGTTTACCGAATCTGGTGAGATTGCAGACAAAGCAGCTGTTCCGAACGCAGATGGCCAAACATGCAGCAGCAGCAGCAGCAGCAGCAGCAGCAGCAGCAGCAGCAGCAGCAGCAGCAGCAGCAGCAGCAGCAGCAGCAGCAGCAGCAGCAGCAGCAGCAGCAGCAGCAGCAGCAGCAGCAGCAGCAGCAGCAGCAGCAGCAGCAGCAGCAGCGAGGAGAAATTACATTAACTTCCAGATAGCCGCTCATTCGACGGGACCCGGCCATGTCTTCAGGCTTGATGAGAGTGAAATCCTCGCAAGGGGTGGCAACTGCGCGAGCCATGAGCTGCTTGAGTCGTGGTTCTCCGGCCCGCATTCAATTAACAAGCGCAATGACCTTCCGCATCCATATACTGTGCTGCGATTTTGCCTAGACAGAATTACTAGCTACGCGGGGAGGGTACGGGCGGCCGGCAGTCACGGTGACAGCGAACAAACTTGCCGAGTAATCGTCACGCCAAGAATCGACAACGGGGATGAAATCACGGTGATTAATGACTCGGGTGTCGACCGACAAGAAATCATAACATTTACTACGACTCCCAGCGATGAACACGAATACTGCCAAATAGAGTAGGCGTAAGGTCGCCTGGCAACCATGTGCCGCTACTACCCCTTTCTGCGGCCGTCTCTGATGATGGGTTCGAGTGAGAATCCGAAACGCCAGGCCAGCAAACTTCTTGTTACAGCAATCGCATCTTCTTCTTCTTCTTCTTCTTCTTCTTCTTCTTCTTCTCCTCCTTCTTCTTCTTCTTCTTCTTCTTCTTCTTTTTCTTCTGAACTGCTTTCTGGAACTCGCCTATCTCTCTTTACCTACGAATTGTAGTCCATTGAAATAGCAGGAAATGCTGTATCTGTCCCAACAGCTGCTGACCGTCGTGGATGATTTAGATAAGAATGATGCGAATTTTTGATCAAATCGTGAAGGAAATCCCAATAGGATCGGATCTTATTTCGTAGCCGTACCTGCAGTAGACAAGACTCACCTTACTCGGATGCAGACGGAAGTCCATTATCGCATATAGTGCAAACGTCTGTGATAAATGCGGGGTGGGGGCTTTTAATCGTGACAAGTGTGCTTGTGTCGCAACTGACTTCACTACCTGTCACACCGCATGTGCGTTCGCTAACTTCGTCAATTGTTGTCTCTAATGGTAAGTTCGAGGTTGAACCCGAAATGTCATGCAAATAAAACTTTTGTTCCGGTGACCTCAGCACTTAAGTAGACTTAGGTTAGGGGATATTTTGAAAACAGTTTACTACGCTAAGAGCGAATTGTGCGTTACCACAAGGTGCGTCTAAACAAATATGTGCAATTATCTGACATTATAGTGCCTCTGACTAACTTTTCATTCCCGAAAACAGCGAATCCAACACCTCAGCGTCTCAATTTACACTGTGCAGGAGCACAATTACGCTTTGGGTCAAAGGTTATTGCTGATTTCTTTTATTGCTATCCGTTCCTGTATCCCAATTGACTTTCTTCCAAGTAGCTTCCTCGAGGGCAGTCTCATGCTGGAGTTATTTATTTCTTTACCACCCCCTTTGTATTATGCAACGAATACTTTCAGGCAAAACGGAATCGCGCTCCCGGTTTCGGAATCACAAATATAACTCGACGACCTCGAAGAAAACCAACCATCAGTAAAGCTATAGATGTGTCGAAACTCAACCTTCATCCTAGCACAATAGGGCTCAAGAAAACAGGTCGAGTCCGTGATTGGCTACTGCCACTACGGACAGTAGAGTCAGTACTGGGGCAGTGGATGGGTTTGATTTGGGTTGCTTTCTTTTGTTTTTGATGCGTACTAATGAAAAACTGCGGAAGTCTCAGATTACAGACTTATCTTTCCTGTGCGTAACCTATCATTACCCTTGAAAAAAGGGATACTTACGATGTGCACCCTGACGTCGATTTTCACCGTTTCAGAATTTCGTATATGGAAGCACTATCGTCGTGTTCAGCGTCAATTTTCGGTTCAATAAGACGCTTCAGAACTGCGCCTGTTTTTCCGTGCCCAGTTACTTGGTATTGAGAGATCGTCTGTGATGTGTGAAACACAAACAGTGGGGCCCAATCGGAGTGGGTGCACCCGATCCAGAAATCACACCGCGTCGACGGACGTCAAAACCAGTACCGGGGTAAGTTCGAAATGCTCTTCCGTAAATAACGAAGTGGATCCAGGGATGGAAAAGGCCCGATTGTGTTGACCTCTGACTTCGATGAGACCTTCAAATGCCTCTTAACTGTGGAATGCGCGAGGTCTGTGCAGGACCTACGTTGTTCTTCTGATCAGAAGTTGGGTCATAGGGGACTGTATGTGCAGGGAAAGTTGATTCGATCGAGAAATTAGCAAATATTTTAGTACCAACAGAGACGACTTGAAACGTCCACACTTAGTTCATTTGAGGATTGTGGCACACTCATGCCCCTTACTTGATCTCCGCGGGTCGGTCCCACAGTGTTGATGGAGCCTAGGTGGATTAGCATGCAGCAATACAAAGCGTGTTTTTTTCCGTGTGCTAAAAAGCGTCGGAAAGGATTTATGCAACTTTTATAAACAATTCAGTTAACACTGATCCATCGCGGCTAATTTATTCATTGTAGACTGACTAGCGCCAATAACTCCAGAGCACTGCTTATGTCCATCAGAGAACAAGCCGATACATATTCTAAGTTGGTGGCCCCGACGTTTCGAAAAACATGGGAAGGTGTTAATGGTCCTGCGACCGCAATTCAAAGTTTGTGGGAGGGGGAAAGGTACGTTTGGAGTAAAAATGTCCAGTTCTGGGACGAGGCCTGATCGTTTAACCAACCGACTTTTTAATCCGAACCGCTGTTTTTCTCACTCCATATGCTAATGGACCATTTTCCTCCTCAATACAAGAAACTGATTATTCAGACAAATATGACTACTTTTCCTTGCGCATTAATGCTAATAAAGAATACATTTACTGACGACGCTCGCACTTCCTTGAAGAAGGTTAAGCTCACTCATTTAACGCTCAACTACACAGTAAGTAAATCTGAATCATTAGCTGAATAATTTTTGCTGAGGGTGGCGCCTAATTTTAGGATAAAAGCTCACTATGTCACCCTCTCCCCCTCATTAATCGGCACCCATTAAGACTACACATTCGCAAATTACAAGGCATTACGAGATGGTGGACTGGGAACTCGTTATCGGGATAGCGCTTGCAAACTGATGCTAAGAGGAGCGGCAGGCGTTTATAGGCGGGCATGGGTCAGAACTACTTTTAGGTCGTGATACTGATGAGCCAATCAACGAACGGCTATCGGCGGATTGCCGGCCTCAATAGCCGCCGCCACATATGCGGACGAAAAAACCGGTTTGGTCATGAGGTGACAGCGCGCCAGAGCAAGGCGCTCACATTCTTATAGTGGGCACGCCTCTGCAAACCCAAAGAGTTATCACAGACGGAAAATATGGTCTACTTTGCCAATAGAAGCGAAGACACGAGTCCCAGGAAGTAGTCTTGAAGAAGGAGACACGATCGCTGGGACAAGAGCTTTATTAGCCTGACGTTTCGGGTTCCTGCTGAAACCCATCATCAGAGACAACAGCAGATACGGGCGCAGTCGCCATGTCCTCGTATGCCGCAAAAATTGTGGTGGACTAAAGATTAAAGTGTTTAGGAAAGCGATAAATACGAAGCAAGTACTGAACTTCAACAGGAACCACCCAATCAGCCACAAATGAAGTTGTGCAAGGACAATCTATCGGCGTGTCGCAACGAACTGCAGTGAGCCGGAAGACAAGACTGCCAAACCACAATACCTCCGACGGGTCTTCAAAGTCAATGGCTACCCGCGCAACTTCGTCAACCGGTGCATACGCAAAAGGGACGAGAGGCCTAACCGCAGGGACACCAAATCTTGGCGGGCACCTTCGTATGTCAAGAACGTTTCAGAAGCTGTCGGCCGCCTTTTTGCACCACTTGGGGTTGGAGTTGCCCACAGACCGGAGGCAACCATCAGGCGTCTGGTAATGAAACCGAAAGACCCACTGCCACGGCTAGAAACGTTTGGAGTCCTTTATCGGATCTGGTGCAGTTGCGGGCAAAGCAACTACTTCGGAGAAACCGGAAGACTGCTCTGGACGCGAAGGGCCGAACACGCTGCAGCTGTGCGGAGAAATGGCGCCAGCTCTTAAGTTGCGGCTCATTCGACGAGACCCGGCCACACATTCGAATTCGACGAGGCCGAAATACTCGCAAGAGATGGCAACCACGTGAGCCGGGAGCTACTTAAATCCTGGTTTATTGGCCCCAGTCCATTAATAAGTGCAATTAACTTCCCCTTCCATACTCGGTGCTGAGACTTCGCCTAGGCAGAGTAATTGGCCACGCGGGGAGCTCACAAGTGAACACTTTTCCCAACACCAGGGTCAGTGCGTCAGATGTTCGAGCAATCATCACACCATCATCCAACGCACGTGATGAAAATGCAGCAATTAACGACGCAAACCTCGACAATCAAACAGTTAGCACACC